CTGGAGGCTCACGTGCTATCCACCACACCAACCGATGCACTTGTTTTGTCTTTCTCTCAACCGTGTTTTTACTCTGTCATTGCTATCAGCATCCTCTCATCTACAGGAGTGATTTGGAAGCATTAATCGACATTGGACCAAGTTATGCTTAAACTGCAAAATCACCATGTTCTAACTTTTATTTACCGCTTATCCTTTGTCATGGCAGGACACTATGGTAAACACAGCTTGTGGTTGTATTTCACATAGTATCCTGCCATGAACAAAGAATAACAGTAAATAAAAGAACATCTCCAGACAGTGTCGCTGCTTCCTCCACGGTACGACATGATTGAATGTCGCGCGTAATGTGAACCTTACCGCACCTGTTAATTGGCGCACAGCCGACTCATGCAACTCTTGCGGCTGTTTTCTCCGACGTTGGGCGCACACGGGGCCGACGACCCCATTTCCGAGCCACCCGCCAAGCAGTAGAGAACGAGGGAATTGTCAGCATAGCTTGTTCACTCTACTATCCCTCATCCTCACAATGCAACATCGTCATCACCTGGCTATGTATCCAGAAGGTTTTGGGTTCCATTTGAATTCGTTGTTTTCACCCAGGTGATGATCCATCGTCTCCGAGCTGTACGTCTTCGGGATGCCGTCAAAGCGTTAAGACATTTTGCTCACTGTAGTTATTTCGGTGCTGTTAGATGGCTGGCGGGCGAAGATACTTCGAGACTTGCCTCGCTTCTAATTCTTCTGTTTTCTATGGTCGTACTGATTATCTGTCGACTGTAGCCGTTCAACGATGCACCGATAATGATAGAGGCCTGAGGACCTAGAAAAAAACATGAATTGTACAAAAATGCTTGCACTTTTTTTTATAACTGAAACAGAAAAAGTGTTGGTGATCTAGGTTAATTTAGCCTGCTGATAAGGCAGTTTCATTCCAGGCTTATATCCTGCTCATTATGAACGTCTTACTACTTCTAATACCTACTTCAGTTGGTTTTCTTTTTGAAGGAAAGATTTCCCAACCTTTAACTTCTGTAACGGAAAAGTCATAATGACAAAAGATTGCTATGTTAAATGCTCAAAAACACATTGAGCTCCGTCAATCATTCATTAGGCACCAATTCATTCCGTCATTTCTCTTTTTTAATTTTCTTCTTGTTTTCGCTGTTTTCCGTCTTTCTATCTTCCTCTTTCTTTCTCCTACAACAAAATATTTGCCTCTTAGGACTTTTTCTCGTTGAAGGGCATTTACGTTGTTGTTTTAAAAGTTGGCGGTTTTTCCAGAGCCCATATCTATCCCTGAAGTCTTCCTTAAGAACTGAAAGAGTAATAAAGACAACGTTTACAGCGTTGACTAATCTCGCCGAGATACGACGCATAGTTGCATTTCATTTATGAATTCGCTTAGGCTTGCGAATTGCTTGGATTCAGTATTCGACGCCGACCTGCGACGGTCGGTGTGAAGATAAGTTGTTCCTGATGACTTTAGGAGACAAACATACATTAGGAACTTCCTTGGTGAATCCTTTACAGAGCCTGATCACAGATTTGTCGTTCTCTCTTTTCTGATATGCCAAAACATACCAATAAGGTGCAATAAAATATAAATGACAAAAATCCGAGAACGAATAGCACGGAAGAATGCCGTGAGAAAACACGTGATCTTGCCCCGTATCTCAGAATTGATTTTTGATGCGGTGGGGTTGGGTGCAGCAATTAACCATATGCGACTCTAACGGGCTGTTCTTCCTCGGTGGAAGGCAGGTAAAAACGGTGGGTTTTTCGAGAAGCTAGTGCTAGAAGCTAGTAATTATTGTTCAGATTTTCATCTTTCTGTGTGTGAAGTTGAAGCATTTGACCTCGTAATATTAGTGTACCCTTCCAGGCTCTGAAGAAGGCGATACTGCCGACACGTCAGTTGTGTTGTATGTGTTATATTTGTAAGGAAGAAAACATGGCTGAATAACAACCTCGCGATTGCTGTAAAAAAGAGAACGACAGATTTATAATCGAGTGGTGAGGTTAATAGAAAGTGGATCTTGGGAACCTGATTACAGACTTGGAAGACTTCGCTTAGCATGACTAAAATGAATAGATGAGCACCCGAAGGTGTTTTCACTTCAGTGGTATTCGCCAGTCGTCGTCTTCGGTGCCGCCGTCGGCGACTGCGGGCTATCTCGTGGACACAAGCCGCGACTAAGCGCGTAACGTCGAATCGCGGTCAAGCGTTTACGACGACGACGACTACTACAATATTCGCCAACGTCCTTTGCCCACAACGTCCCGTTTTTCTTCTGAACTTTTCGGCTAAGGAAAACACTCGTCACTCAGGCGATAACCGTGTCAAGCGCGTTTTCAACTATCGTTACCAACAGCGGCCGACATACGAATGTTTTCGTTTTCACCTAAGCGTCCTATGGGCAGAGAACGTTCACGACAGCAACACATCGCCCAACTTCGTATACAAAGGCGATTTAGACAACCATTTTATGGTCGACTTCTTCAAAAGAGTTAAAGAATGACTAATGGGTTTAGTCTTATTAAAAAGTAAAACTTCTCTAAGGGTGATCGCTGATAATACCGATAGGATAAAAGCTGGCTGAAAGAAAGGCAAAGCAATGGGGTCAACCGGTGTGGTGGATAGCAAATGAGTCGCTGTAAAGGCAATCCTGGGCTCGAAGCCAGCTTTTCGAAGCCAAGTGAGGCTCCGGGTTTTTTCACATCTCAGCATCCTTGTCGCTGTACTTTTCATCGTACTGTGCCGTGAAAAAAGAATAGGCAGTAAATGAGGGTAAGGCATTAATTTGCTAGTTGAATGGTTTTCCTTAGGAATTGTATGATCGACTAATAACCGAATTCGCTGTTCTCTTTATGAGCAAACATGAGGTTGTTGCTTTATTCTTTATCCGCGATAAGCTGACGTTTCGGCGGATTTCGTCTTCCTCAATCCCTAGAAAGGTCAACTTGTCTGCGACCTACCCAGCCAAGCATCTCCGTAATCAAACGTAGAAGATACTAAACCACGGTTTCAGCAGCGCTGAACACAAAATAGCTTTCTTGCACACTCACTGCATTCTGTAAGTTTTCCACTGAGTATGTCAAGGGAAACCAACTACACAAAGTTCACCTGGAAGTGTAATGTCCCTCCCACATTAAAATATCAGTCTTAAATGCTATACGAGATCCTGGTACTTCTGTGCGACCGAAGGTTATATGCTAAGTGATATTTTGCTAGTTCTGCAGCATCTTCGGCACGAAGTCCTGCGACAGCACTACCTGGGCGCTGCTGGGTGGACACTGTAGGGAGCGTTCGAGCTACTATAGATCAGGAGGAAACTTATAGCTAGGCGATCTGGTTTCCATCAGAAAACAAACAATAGCAATGCGATGCTATCGACGCAGTGAAAATGCAAACCATTTAGGAGAGAGAGGCATTTGATCGTAATCAACATACACCAATAATAAAATTGCTTTACTTTTAGCGTAAGAAGGAAGAAAGTATTTTAAAAAGCAGAACAAAAATAGCAGATTGTAAGTGCAAAGTTTGTTTGGATATTACGATTAGACACACCTTTCGTATCGATCGCAACCTTAGTAGCCCGGGTAATAATCTTGTTCAGTAGTTTGTCTGTCTCATATATTCAGCACTGATCAATGGTCCATACCAGTAGAACCAATGAGAAGCAAAACGTCATAGCAAACATAGCAGCTGAGAAAGGCATCAGTGTGCTGTCCCATAATTCCGGCGCCAATAAATGTCGGATCGGTAGCGTTGGCAGGTTGGAGTTCACTGTTCGCATTAATGCTGTTTGAGAACAGTTTAGGAACTATGTGCTTCGCTCAGCCGGCGTTCGTTCTGACGATGAACGTTATCTGTCGTCTCACATCTCCAGTTGATTTGCGGTTCGCTGATCTCGACCTCAATATCCAGATTCTTGAAAGGCTTTCCCCACTCCCAGGGAGCTGGGTCGCTCTTATGTGGATTGCATAATCTTTTCCCGTTTTATAGTTTCTCTATTTCATTCGTCCACTCGTCCTTTATTTTATTTCCTACGGTCTTTCCTCTATTTCGCTGAGCCACACTGGCTTATCTCTTCATCTTGTCCACAGATATTTCTGGATCGAATATCGAACAGCGCTGTACAGCAGCGGCTGCATAACCTTCAGACATGGTTATCCGAATTGAGAATTTGTTAGATATTTTTATCAGGAAGCCATGCTTATGCGGTGTGACAGTCTTTTCGAAGATTCAAAGAAAAACTTCCCAAGCTAGTAGACGTAGTCGTTACATAAAAAATTTTCTAACCTCCTCACGATTAAATTACCAAGGCAATTCAAGCTTCAAAATCGTTTTCCTTGCATTCAGTCTTGTACATTTCTTGGAAACCGGACTTTTTTTTATTTTTAATAACCGCAATTTTGATTGAAATCGCATCCATTTTAAAGAAGAAGAGTACCAAATCTTTTCAGTCTTTTCCGATTGCTCTTGCGTTGAATACTCGTCAACGAAGACTCCAATTCTTCTACTAACGTACTGCTTTTATAGTGATTTTTAGAATTTTTTTAAGCTTATGCTTCTCTTTATAAGAGGAAATCTGTCAACATCGTGACTCTTTCTGAGCTTTTTGGACATTTTAAAATATTAGGAATCAGGAAATGTAATCCGATCACACACGGATGGCTCGTAGACGAAAAATGGGGTCAAGCTTATCTCTCTTTCTTACGAGCTGTATAGAAAAAGCTCGCTATCCGCTATATAAGAAGAACGTTGCTGCACTTTTTTCGAGAAAAAGATCAAGTCTTTATTAGAACCAATGTTCCAATATTTAAGTTTTATGGAATAAAAAGTATGACAGCATTCTGAATAGTAGGTCGTCGTGCCCTTTTACGATCTCCAAAGGTCGGGCAGTACGACGTCGCGAGGTGTCGCGCAGCGAGTGAAAGTTCTCCGAGGTGATGCAGCCAGCCGGCCAGCCGACCGACCGACAGACCGACCAGCCTTAATAGCTCTCCTCGTTTCCCCGTTTTGGGTCAGCACAGGTCATCCGAATGTCATCAGTAGCCACAGTTCCAGTCTTCCGCTTCGGGATTCCGCATTCATGTGAATGACCAGCGGCTAAGGGCCTACAGTACGCTTTCACCTGGAGGCTTCTACATGGTTCTTCCGCGTAGAAACTTTTCCCTCGCTTAGCAATTCCTAAGCTCTCAACTATTTATCCTCTATTATACCGTATTCTTAACCTATTTGTGCATGTTTACTTCATTCTCTGCTGTCACAAATGCATTTACTCATTCGTTCTTGTTTTCCTTTATTTTTTATTCTTTTATTTTGTCGCCTATTTTGACAACATCATGCCTTGTCCTCTTCATCGTACTTTTGTCTGGCTTTTTGGCTTCTATCCGTGGTCAAACGCTTCGGTTTTTTTTATTCCTAAAAGCGTAGAATGAGTTAAAATTGCAAAAGAGAAAAATGGTACATTCGGAAATTAAGTCTGTTAACCCAAGCGAACTTTGCTTCAGGTTTTGGTTTGAGTTTTCAGTTATATCTTTAGATGAAGCTCGGTTCCCAGGCATCTTAGTTCGTCTTCCCTACAGATATTCTGCAATAGACGTTTTCTGTGTCAAACAGAACCTCATCACTGTTATCTACTGTTTCCAGCTGTTGGTGGTGACTGCGATCACTGGCGAAGTCGCCGTCGACGATGGCGACGACTCCTTGCTTGCGTCGTCGACGACGAGTCGCTTCATCGCATTCGATATCTCCAACATGAGAAACAGCGGCATTGGGGTTGTCGGATCTGAAAGGATATTTTAGAGTTGATCGGCTGCAATAAGCGAGCCGTGACCCTTACATATCTACAGAGTATCAAAAAACTTCCATATGAACCGATATGAATGAAATTCTCAAAAAGGAACAAGGAAAACGTTTTTTTAGAGACATTAAAGCCATTTACAATTGGATAATTCTTTACAACTATAACATCTGAACGGTTAAATTCTTCATAAAATGAGTCCGAAGTTCTCTACTGTTTCTTATGGGCTTAGCTATCTACAGTCTACTTCGTTAAATTATAGTGATTCCGGCAATTAAAAAAAACGGGTGACAGAATGACAATACTATTATAACATTATAACAATACAATACTGTTATAATTTATATCCTCATTGTCTTATACCACTTAATAAGATATCCTTCGATCGTCACTTTTTTCTATAAAATAGTCCATAGTACAGTACTCTGCGGTGCAAATGTAAGCATTTTCATGACTATTTAATTCATTCGGCCTGGTGCGAACATAGTCATTAGCCTCCTTCATAACCACGCAAATCATCCCATACCCACTGTCACGACGAAGGTTCAAAGTCACGCAAACCCTCACAGTAGCGCCGTTTCGGTTGTCGTTCGCAATCGCACAAGCCTTCTTAGAAGCGGTGTTTCTGCTCTTGACCACATATGCCTTTCGCTAGCTCTTTTGTTCATAAGCACTCAACCTATCTCATAAATTCGCCTAAATGAGCAGATTGTGATCTTGCGTCCAATACAAAAATCCCGGGTTGCTCACCACAGTCGGAATTGAGTATAAATTCCGTTGAAGAATGAACACGTTTTGAGTCTTTTCTGATTTTTGTCTTTATTTTTGTATGCGTTGATCTTTCAGATCACTTTTCAATGTATTTTCTATTCGCTATTTTCTTGATGAGCACTCACGACGTTGTTACTGTAGTCTTTGTTCCGCAAAGTTGACGTTTCGGTGGGTTTCGCAGGGTTTCCATTCTTCAGAGTCTACAAAGGTTAAGTTAACCACAATCTAGTCAGCCAAATAAGGGCAAGTCAGTCTGCAGAATTGCTGCAAAATGCCATTTTTGTATTCGGTCGAAACATATGAAGAAACAGTTTTAGAAGACCATTCATATGAAAATCATGCATAGATATTTTTTACAGATTTTCCGTCAAACTCATAGAGAAATTGTTATCATCACTGCTACCATAACTGAGGTTCTGGTCTCCTTTGAGTCTTGCACGGTTTTCTCTCTATTTTATTCAACTTGAATTCTGCAAAAGGAGTTTTTCTCTTAGTTTTCGCTAGTATTTTAGAAAATTCTCGTTAAAAATGTTGTTGTTTTTCGTATTCTTGATGATGTTTGAAGGCCAGCATTCTGTTGTTAGCTCGCCGGCCGGTAGCTATCATTAGCCGCCGTCGTCGCCGCTAATGAGGGGTTCGTCGACGACGAACTGTTACGGACGTCCCGAGCGGCACGTGGTGGACGTAACTCGCAAAGCCTGCGCTTACGAGATTGTCCTAGTTTTCCGACATCTGCACCAGATTTCACCATCACTGAAAAGCGATTCAAAATCTCCATAAAAACTTCCATAAATGTAAAATGTAGAACATCCGACATTGGTCAATCTCTTAAGAATGCCATATGAGCAATTGATTCGAAAAGGTATCGCAGTGATGACTGCATATTTATCCTGTAGCATAACTTATACAGCCCTACCGATATGTTTCTATCCTTCCACTGAAGTCTGATGGCAATTTCACGAACCGAAGAGAATGGGTAATTGATTTGCACGGGGTGCAGAATTGAACCAAGAGCTCTGTCTCGAAGAACGTCTATAACCATTGCGTCTTCTGCTCAATAAATATTTTCCGAATAAATACTGGAAATAGCAATAGGGAAAGTAGTAGGGTTTGCTTTATTTTAGATGGGCGGACTTTAATGAGGAAGCCAGCTTTAGGAGATATTCAATTTAACTGATACGTTCTTGGTTTGGTAATATTACACTAAGCAGCGTTTAGCGCAATGGTTAGGGGTGGCCTAGAATAGATATGGGTTCGAGCCCATGCCCTTGGCTCACTAAACCTTCCATCTCTCTGGGTCGGCAAATTGATACCATGCTTGTCTAGGAGGATGGCGCCAATGACTCGACACATTAGCAGTGCTTCTAATATTACAGTCATTGTATAGACCAGATAAGCATTGAATCACCTCTAACATGCTTAATGAAGTCGAATCCATGGCGCACCCTCAGGGGTTGACTAACGCCGAGAGCTGTACCGTCTATCCTTTTAACATTACAGTTTCATGAAACTTTTCCCATAACATGGGCAAGCTGCTAGCTCGTTACAATAGACGACTGCTGGTTCTCATGAATAAGGTGGGGTCTTCTACCATGCGATTAGATTACTTAAAGAACCACCCTTGCTTTGTTCTTAGCTGAGCTTCGCGATGAAAACATCGATAATCCTAATAGGCCAAGTTGACCGCAATTTACCCAGCCAAACACTTCCATAACCGAATGGAGAAAATGCTAACTGCTAATGGTTTAGCGTTTTTCCTGTTCGGTTATGGAAGTGTTCGTTTGGGTAGCTTGAGGTCAACTTGACCTTCGTAGGGTCTGAAGAATATGAAATCTACCGACGCGTCGGCTTGTTCGTGAATTCAAATAAAACCTCATTTTTGCTCAATAAGAATGTAAAAAATTATTTAATCAATGCAAAGTTTAATAAAAAGTCGGTTGTGGGAATCCTAACAGGAATCAGAATGATAGGGGAGATTAAACATGAAGGGTGAAGTAAAGGGGTTCCAGAAAACGTAAACGCGAGCCTTTATGAAGTCCTAAACAAGTTTCACAGCTATTTAGAACCTTAAACTTAAGAGCATCTAATTAATTTAGACAGAAAACTCTAAGTCAGTGAAAGTTTTTTTATGCTCTTAATTGACACGAGTTCCTTTGTAAATAAAATGGTTCACTAGGACAGCAACTCTATTCGTGTTCGAATCCTCGTTGATTTAAATGTTGCATCTTCTTGAAGGTACTTTTTATCTAAAAATGGACGAAACGGTTTAAGCAGTTTCGCTTTTTTGTCGTATCATATACTTTACATTATTTTTTGTATTATCAATTTGCTAGGTTTTTAGCAGTTATTTTTGCCCTCTCGAGTCTTACTTCTGTTCTTTAATCTACTTTAATCCAAGGAGTCTCCATAGTCAGGAGATATAAATCTTTAGCAATCTTTTGCAATTATTCGATCATTTTTGAAGATTTTCGTGATTTCCTTTCTCGTCCTTCTTTTCTTCACATTTTCTTAATTTCATAAGAAAAACAGGAATAGTATTTCCTACAGTTGTGTGAATGTTCCCGTTCGTTCGACCTGATCAGCATGTCGGACCAGGGCAGCCATTCGCCGGTGTTTAAGACGACCATGACAACCCAAATTTCCACACTGACAGTCTGTAAACCCTCACGATAAAATGAAGGAAAGACAGATAATGACGTTAAATGACTAAATTGAGCGCTTATGAAAATTTCAGCCATCAATTCGATAGCACGTAGAAATTCACGGGCACTCGAAGACGGAAGAAAAATACAGAAAAAGTCATTCAAATTAACTTGAAAACGAGAATACTGGGGGTTTTTTGTTGGTTTTAGTAGTTCCCAAGATCGACTTTCTCTTAACCTCGGCATTGGAATATGAATGTGTCGTTTTCTTGTTCAGCAATCGCGAGGTTTTTAAACAGCATACATTTACTTCCATAAAAACACAATACAATACAACGCTAGCTGACGTTTCGGCAGTATCGCCTTCTTCAGAGCCGCTTTTTCGTGACTTCCAATGAGGAAGTTTAGAACAGCTGATTATAGTCGCATGTGGTTGTGTTGTGGTTGTGGTTTTAGTAGTTTTCTGGGCTATCGTCATTCGTTTGACGTTTGCTCATTTGCTGCTAAAGAAGGCTTTAAAGAAATTCTGAAACACAAAATTGTGAGGAAAAAAACTAAAAACGTAATAAAAATTGGACAGCTGAATACACAGCACCCACCTTCTTCACGCCTGAGTGAGGAAAATGACAGATCGGAAAACGAGAACGAAAGACAAATGGAATGATCATGGTTTCCTATGTAGTTCATACCCCACTTACGTCTTCACTTCAAACTAATAAAGTGAAAGGAGGATTTACAGAAAGAAATCTGCCTTAACCATCAAGTGACTACTATAAAATGAAGTTGTTCCAAAGGTCAATGATTTAAAAATCAAATCTTTTGCTTCCTTTTAGTGGACTTTCGCAAAAGTCAGTTGTCGTTGTTAGATTTTAGATGTTAGATTAAATTTGTTTTTCTCTAAAGCTATTCAGTACAATAACATTCACATTTTTTGAGCTCCTCCTTGAAAAAAATTTTTCTTAGCGGTCTAAAACATTGATGGAAAGTGATCGATAGAACTATTTGAGAGACAAGCAAAGCGAAAGACCCGCATGGTGTGGTGGTGAACGCGTTACTCTCCCGAAGGGACAATAGCGTGTTCGTTCCCAAACGCAGACACCTGCGCTCTGCAGTTTTGCAAATATCTTAGCATTATATAAGGTCTAAAACATTATTTAGAAAAAGCCTTTTACGGCCTTGAAAAAACTCAATGTTTTTTTTAGAATTTTTGGGTTTTCTAATTATGAAATGTGTCGTTTCCTCAATTTATTAAAATTTTCAGGCTTTCATCTAAAAAACCTGAACGTGAGCCGATGTTTATAGTTTGTATCTATTCGCTTCTAACATGTGTCGTATGGGATCTGGTAGCTTTGTGGTGTTAATATCGTTCGATAAGCACATAGTCCAGTTTCGACTCTATTCCTGACCAACCAAGCTCCTCATTTTCCCGGATAAGATAATTGCCACTGGATTCGTCTGGATTATCTAGTTCTCTGAAGGATGCACAGAGTGGCGGCTACCTATAGTGACAACCTGGAAACACTTTAGTTAACCAGCAATCAGCGAGACTTAGAAGACCAAAAGTCCTCGAGTAGTAACCGCATCTAGATGCACACCCGAAGACTTTGTGGACGAAGAATGTGAAGAAACCAATAAAACGAAAGAACATCAACAAATCCAACAAATTTTTAATTTCACGTACTAGGGTAGTCATTGAGAGGCGCGTACCTCATTAGGTAAGAAGTGCCCTATAAATCGTTCGACTTCACGCACTGGACTACCCCAACCCATTGTTTCTTCGGGTCAGCAAGTTGGTGCGGGAATTATTTAGAGAATAAAAGCACTGATTCGTTAAGTTGCTGGGCTAACACCATACATTGTATGAGGTATATATGGTTTCGGTTGTTTTTGCGGGATTGTGAACGGCGTCAAATCCACGGCGCATCGCTAAAGGATTGACCAATGACGATGCCTTTAGGCTTCATTGCTGTCATTTGGCAAATTTCTTCTATGGAGTTCAGTCGAAGCGTATTCCATGACGTTAGTTGAGCCATATTCTAGCCTCTACCTATAGAAAGGAGGTCTGCCACAATAAGGTTGATTAGCTGAAGATTCTTCTAGAACCACAACACTTCCGACGCTTGATTTGCTCTCAGGTGAGGTGGAGCACTGGAGCATCAAGAGTAGGATGAATAAGATTTGGTTCACCACACTGTAAATCTCATTTTGTTATTTTTAAAAGTCGAGGCTAATGAAGCGGCGGAAGCTAGTCAACAAAACAAATCCGAAATCGCTTCATTTTTATTACTGCTCTGAGTGCTGTTGATGTTGTACTCTCGGCAGATCCTTTTCTTGTCTCAATGGCACCTAATATAGAGGAAATGCTGGTAAACACTCCTCTAAGTTAAGTAAATCCTAAAATTTTTTAGTAGAAGTCATTAAAGCATCGAAAAATAGTAGCCAATGTGAATAAGACAAGATAGAAGGAGTACAGAAAATACGGTTTTTCACAATTCGTTCCGGTATCGGTACAGCAACCCTGACGTCAAGTCGGGAGCTTGCGAATCCCAGAATTGTGTGACATAAAAAAGAGTGATTCTGGTGTTACGTGTGATATCGTTAGAATAAAGTTTCAAAAATTATGAGTGGTACTTTATTCCCACGAATGATAAGTTTTTTATTTTTTTTTTCGCATACGTCAATGAGAAAACTGTGTAAAAAGACTCTAACTAATCTACTCACTAAATGGTCGGTAAGGTGTAGATAAAGAGGAAGAGCATTACCTTCATCATCTGCCCATTCTCCAGTCAGTTATTGATACATTCAACAAAAAAAAATGATAAAACGTTAGACACTGAACAATGATGGACGTGCCATAAAATCGACACCAAGATGTACCGTAGAGGTCACTGAGTACATATTTGGCCTGCACAATAACTTGCGACAGCCTGCTGATGTATCAAATCAGTGTCAATGTCCTCCCAGAAATCTCCGGTACCATTTTTTCGATGCCGAGAGATAGAACTCATAGTGGACCTGAGATGCGGGTTCTAACCAAGAACGATATGCGTACTGCAAGTCACTTCTACCCACTGTACTACACGCGCTACTATGTGCTCTGTTAGGTCCCAGCAAAATCTGCACTCACCTCTATCGACTGCCATTGTTGTAAAGCAGTTTCTCACAGAAAAATAAGAGAAGTAAAGTGACCTTTCGTGCTTTAAGTAGTCTTCAAATCTCATCTCATTTCAAACATATCAGAGAAGAACTTTAAAATTTGAACGACTTAAAAGAATGCTCTACTTCGTGAATGACTGCCAAATCTCCCTCGGTGATTGTGATTTTTCGGTGTAAAACTCAGATATAAAGCAAAAATTTTCTTTCTTCATTTTTGTTACGCTAAACAGCAGTTTCGAAGTGCAACTAGGACTAATGAAATCCCAGGATTAGCTGTCAGAAGAAACACTGGTGTTGTAAATTGGAAGACGGTCTCCTTTCAATCTCCATGACCTGGTAACTGCTCTGCCGGTCGTGATCGCCTGGTAACGCCGTAGTAATGCTTTTGGGGAGGGGTTCCATGAAAAAAAACTCTTGCCATACCATTCGCATACTAATTGAATGGAAAATATGCTTCAATCCAGAGAATTCTCTATGGTGGTGGACTAATCGAAAATGCTTCAAAATTTCTGTCTGTGCTTAGCAATTCCAAACAGAGTTTTTGCTTTCTAAACGACAATTCTAATTTCTTTCTTTAGAACGAAGTATTTTTACGTGAGATAACTTTTTCATGTTATCTGACGTATTAAAATATGTTTGTTGGATGACGAGTGCACTGCCGTCTCTATTAATCCGTACACAGACGAGTTTACTGGATTTCTCGCCGATCTGTCTCAGCCCTCTCGTATACAGTAGTTTCTCGTTTTCTGCCCGTTTCTACAAGTTTCATTTGTTTTTCTATTGTCCTACTTTACCATTTCTTATAATCTCTTCAAAATATTTCGGGAATCAAAAATCATCTTCGATTTCAAACTTCTAAAGACTTTTCAGTGTATGGTAATCATGGAGCTGCTGCTAGGTCCGCAGCCGTTGGTACGACCAATGTTCACACAACACACGCATATCGTCGACAACATGAATAGCGTCGAACAGTGTGCAGACGACAGAGAACACGCGAAGAGTGTTGAAATTAATGAGGGTGCAGAATATGTGAGAAAAGATTATGTGGAAATAAAATATGATCAAATGTTGGACGACACGTCGAAAAGTCCGACTTCCGGCGATGAATCGTCACGAACTCACGGGGGTAACTACAGATCTGAATTAAAGCGACCCGACCTGAAAGGTTGGATTTTTTTCATGTTTGGTCGATTTTTTTTCGTCAGTTTTAATTTTTGTATCTCTCTTGTTTAAATGACTAAATTACAACTCTAAATGGTTTGGGCGTTTGTGGAATCAATCATGAAACATTCTACTGAATCCGCTCCCATGATGGAGATGATTCTGATTAGCACAACGAATTCCGTAGAAATTTTCGTGACGATGATCGACTTCATTTCAGGAAGTTTTCGATGTTCGATATGTGCGAAGGTGTTCTGCCACTCGTCGTCATTGTCAAGACATCGAATGCAGGCTCACTTCAAGAGCTACAAATGCACTCTTTGTCGCAAAGACATTACTAGTAAGTTAAGCAAAAGTGACAGTGACCGTAATATTTAGGATTATTGTAAATATTTTAGTTACCATACTAGAATTTTTCGTCACACCCTATACTGAGCGAAATATACAATTTTTCTATTTTTTTTTCTGCTAATTGAAGGTAATAAACCCATTGAGTTAAGGGCCACTGTATGGAGAATAACAAAGTTGCTGGAGGTTCACTATCCTTTCTATTTTTAATACGTTTTTCCTAATATGATGACAATGGACTGGGATGAGAGAGGTTGGCTAGCGCAATTGTTAGTGACGCCGTCGATCAGAAATCAAGAGCGCTAGCTCAACTACCTCCCTAACACCCAACGCTCACTCCTAATCGACGTGGAAACACCTTAGCCCAGTGCTCTCAAAGAATGCAAGGAAAATCTACTCCACTGGCGTTCTACAATATTCACAAAAAAGACGAAATCCTCAAGCAGCAGCCAAAACAACGAGCTAAAAGTTCGAAAAGCTTTGTGGACGATGAATGCGTAGAAAACGAATCGATTGCAGAAAGTGAGAGTAAACGCACAGTAGATGTGATAATAGGTCATGTAAAAGAAGTGCTGAATATTTCTCTTTTATTTCAACATTGTTCCAGTTAGTCGTTCATGGTAACATTGCTTCTGTAAAATGTGAAGCATAGAGGTTCATATATCTACTCCTTAGCGGCTACCGTAACCGTTGTCGAATTGCGCGCGTTGTCCTTCATAGGGCTGCTGTCCGACTGTCCATTGACATTCTACGTCGCCGAAGCGATCCGTAACGCAGAATGTCTTATCATAGATGCTTGTTGTGTATTTGAGTCGGCTATTAATCATTTCCCTACATCTCGTTTGACCCAAATAGCATACAACGCTGACCGCCGTTAACCGGCCTGCTGTTATCGCCCGTTTCCACCACGACGTCGCTCTCGTTCGCAACCTCGTCCGTCGACGTACGTCTTCACCGTCGCCGACGACGTCCATGGCCGAGATTAGCCTCGTTTCGCCGACGATAACATGACTGCTGCGACCCCTATGCGAAAAGTGAAAGCGAGCTACTAGGTCAGCAACAACTGGAAATTGTGAAGCAATAGCGATGAATGTCAACAGTCTTCCTGGAAGGTTATATAGAAAGAAAGGACTGATTTCGGGTGTTTCAATAGTTTTGCAAGATGCTGGAAATTGGTATACGGTCGCCGCAGACAATTAGAAGATATTAAATGAAGTCTTCCACTCTAATTTTACGATTATAGACGTTTTTCACGACTCAAAAATTGATTAATAGGAATTTTATAAAAAATTGTATTAAATATGAATGCAATTCTTACAGAGTATTATTACAAAATAGGTTCTTCTCATTACGAGCATTTTGAAATGTTTCCTAGTGAAGTGCTGTTCAGTACAGTGGGATTCTTTTAGAAGGGTGGAAAATTTCCATGTCGGATTCTTAGAACCATAGAAAACTTCGAAGCGAAATTGGAAATTGGTAGTCGATTGCCTAAAAGCCTCTCAAGGTTCAGATATTAATCCTGCTCAATCGTCAAAGGATAATTCATTTGTATAATTACTGTTTCCGTCATTGTATTACAATGGTTAGTTTCCTGATGAATAACGAGTGGCAAACGAGCAAATTTTCAAGCGTTCTAAAAGAACCTGCTCATTCGGTATTTATGGAATCAGCCGATCGAATAATAGATCGTATTTTTCTTACACTACTTACACTTCCTACGTTCGGAAATTAGTCCCACAAAGAAAAAAATGCTTGTATCGGCTTCGATTTTCGTTGGACAAATCCTTGGCTGGTAGAGACGGCTGTATCAACAGAATGTTAGTCGGATAGCAGAGGAGGAAAGAATGACTGAACGGAATGATCGAGTTAGAACGTTAGTCTGAAAGAGAATGACGGTGAGGAAGAGAAGCCAGTTGGCGATGGCATCTTCATTGAGCATTCCTATTAGATTCATCTTCCACATTGCGATTTCCTTGTAATAAGACGACACACCTACACTTTGACCGTTGGCGTTGAGCACTAACCCGGCTCAGTGAGCTCGACCTGTTGATGGGACACAAACGGCATCGCAATTTTGTTTAAATTCCTTTATTTTTATGCTGAAAACAATTTGTTTACGGTAAAATTTAAGATTTATGAAAGGCTAGTCAGACCAATAATCATAGTGAAGTATTGAGTGGGTGAATTGGGTGGTTCAATGCTTGACTCATTGATAGGAGGGCATGAGTCGGAATTTCGATCATGATGCCGAATTCTGTAGTTTTTCAGCCTGTTATTTACATTCGACTGTCTTAGTAATAATAACCGAAACAGTAACAATAGAAATTACAATTTTAATAATAATGTGGAAAATTTGAGCTTCTTACAAGTCCCTTGATCGATTTTCTACTGATCGGAGAAATTTCTGTCATTCGCTAGGAATCGTAGTCAGAAGGCACCAAACCTATCTCTGACTCACAGTAGTCCGGTTATTGCCTCTCGCGAATATCTAAGAAGGCCTTATGCAGGTTGTCTTGGAATTCTTAGAAAACTCAACACATGCTCTAAATGTCGGTTAAAAGATTGTCAACGAAACGATTGGAGAAAGTGCAAGGAGCTGCTCGTCATCTGAGAACAAATGATCTAAATATTTAAGTAAGTAAGATAATAAGGGTAAAGGCTTCAACGTTCACCGGCTCCTTCAGACTTGGTCATAAGGAGTCGTCTTTATTAAGAGCAAAAAGAAATGAATGAATGCATACTTGGCCCTATACAACGACTTGTGACGTATCGACATATCATATCAGTATTTCTACCCTCCCGGAAAATATAGCATCAATTTCCTAATTTCGGAGGAATGTGCAGCTTCGCCACCCTAAGACTGGAGACCCCTCCCAACGCTTTACCGCCACATTGTGGCTGCGAGGTGTTCTTGTGTCAGACTGCGATATACCGCGGAGGATTCATCCCTGGCAGGTTCTCTCAAGCTGAGAAGGAGTCTGGCGTTTCCATCAGGAAGCCTAGCTAATAGTAAACCAATACCAGGATCCACCACCGTCTTGGTACCAAAGTCGCATGGTGGAAAATCCCCCTCTTATCCGCAAGGGCTGCCGCGACCTGTGGTGGTGAAGACCTGGGGCAGACTTTGGCCAGGCTGTCCTCGGGATTCCAGGAAACCACAATGGTTTAGCTATCAAATCTCCGAAAAATGGTGATTATGCTAGGGCCCGCGCAACTAGTAAAGACAAGCTGTTCAAGTATCAAGTAAGTGAGACTGGGGATCGAACAAACTGCTAGGTATATCACAAAGAACTACCAAGCTCTGCGTTTCACAGGCGTTTCCTTCTAAGTGACTATAAAGTGGAACCTCACCGTATGAAATCGTATTTTTCCGACCATTTGAGTGAATCTTCTCGTAATGGCTGTGGTACTGTCGATATTGACGCTGGCGGCTTTCACTTTCCCGAATTTGGCGCGCTGCTCAATGAAAATGGGCACGAAGCCCAGCCCGCCCTCTTGGTGGTTAGAGTCACCCACGACGGCAATCGAGAGCGTGTTCATTCTCTTTGGAAAGGTTTGGTCAGTGGATCAGCAGGTCTGCTTTCTGAAAAGATCGGAAATTTCTCATGGAGCAACCGACGGTATTAGAACGGAATGAATTACGAGGCTGGACATATTGATTCCTAAATGAGAGCTTTCTAATCGAGAGAGATATTCCTAAAGAAATGTTAGTTTACAGAAGATTAGCGAAAAAATAAAGTAAAAATCCTAAGCAATAAGTTCATTTTGTATTCGCATTTCGAGTTTTTCTTAATCATAACTTAAACACCACATGTTCAGCGCTTTGAGACAGCAGTCGTCTTCCTTTTACTTCTTTTCAAAAAGTAGGAACTATTTGTTATAAACCTTAAAACCGTCTTCCAGTAAACCTCGGTGGCTAACAATGATCAGCATTTTTCAATATAATAGAGCTAATGCGAGGTTGGTAGACGAAATTTTATTCGGCTAACCCTTCGGCGCCTTCCCTTCCTCAGAGTCGATCCGAGTCTCGATAGCCCACAGCTGGTCGTTGTCGCCATCTTGGTGTTCGCAGTGGCATCTAGTTGAATCCAGTGTGAGGAGCACCGCTCGAATGAAAAATCTCACTCAGGAGTCCCGTTTTATACAGGACGAGTGTTTATTGATTCCCACTTCCAATATGATCTACGTGAGGCTGGCAAAGCGTCATCTCGCAGCTAGTACTTCATATACTGGCACACAACATGGCAATCAATATCTTAGAAACCGATTTTCCTTAAACCTCGATAACAATAGTCAGTGGTTCTCTATATATACTGTTTACAACAGAACGCATTGGCGACGAAATCGCAGATCCTATGTGATGGAGGCAATCGGTTAACACCCGTACTGTATAAAATTTATACCACCTAGTGAAGTTCGCAATTCGAGCGGTGTTCGCTTCATTGGATTCGACTCGATGAGACAACGGCCAACAATGGACCATCGACTCGGATCAACGGGGCTCGCAAGCCGAGTAAAAGTTTTTGTGCGAACCTCGTGTTATCTATCTTATAAGTAGAATTTTTTTGATTATTTATTATGTAGTTGAAATAATGCTACAACAGTTATATCCAATAATGCAATTATACATGTGATGTAAATATGAAACTTGTACAAACATAGATGTGTATAAATAATGCGGCAATAACAAGATGATTATGAGTCATATATGTTTCACACTGTCTTCAATATGTTTAAAACGTATATTGGAACGCTGCCCATGTTGCTAACCTAAAAACAATTTTAAGTCGAAATTTTACGCTATATTTAACTTGTCGGGAAAAACACTTCCATAAAAAGAGTGTATTATGTACAATGTACGTTATTAAATAGATTTCATGGAACAGAAAAAGTTCTCATCTACGTGGTCAAACTAACCAAAATAAGTGTTACCACAATGAGAAAAACTAGCTGAGAGAAGGACGAAGTGAAAGACCGTGGTGGTTGACGCGTTAACCTCAAGAAAGGGTAATTGCGTGTTCGATCCTCACCGCAGACATCTGCGGTCCGGGGCTCTGCAAATAACTGAGCATCATTGTGGTGGTATTTCACATATTTCCTTGCCGTGAAAAATTGTAGTAGGCAGGAAATTCAAGAAAAACTTTAAAAAATTAATGATCAGAAAATATTTTGAGTTCGTTCTTTCAAAATTCGAACAAACTCCAGTTTTTTTTTGTTGGTGACGAAACTTCATTACGTTACTAGTACTGTTAATATTCACTGTTGCTATTGTTATTATTGTTGTTAAGAATGCTCATGCTTTCTTATAGCAGAAGAACAAATGAAATGGAACATACCTCTTTCCTTACTGTTCCTACCGTCAGACTTTCATCACACTGCTGATGAAATAGCAACCTTTGGTGATTCTCAAATCTCATCATCCTCATCCTCACACTCATCGTGCTCATCGCCTTCATCATCATCATTACCTCATCGTGACCTTCATCCTTATTATCTTTTGCTTTCCACTAAAGTTTTTTTCTATTAAAATACAACCCTACTCGCCTTTCTTTTCCCATTACCTATCCTTTTTCTTTCTCTGTAACTCTCTGTCGTGTTCTTTCTCTCTCGATCTGTATCCTTCTCTCATTCTTTCTTTCATTCCGTATCCATCCTTTTCTACCAGAAAAGTTCCTGAATCACACTGCTAATGAAATCTTGTGCAAGGAAGAATATGACAAGAATACACTCCATAATAGACGACTTTGCTCAGAATGGCAACCTACCTTTGTACTACGTTGCCATTCGTGTACGGTTGGTACGCTACATAAGGTTCCGTAGACTGGAATAGTTTCCACTCCAAGAATCTCTCGAGATCGACCACAGTATGCAGATCCCA